TGAATTTTAGAGAAAACATAGATCCAAGGTTTCTAGGGTTGCATGTACACCATAGAAGTGTTAGAATGCTCAAAACCCATCAGTAGGTTCATAGCCATGAACAACTCCCCATATATATAAGAAATTGGATCATTTTCTTCACTTTTTCAACTTCTTCAACTCTAGCCGTGAACACACCCATTCTCTCTCAACTTTCTTCAACCGTGAACACTACTCAAAGCTACCAAAACGTAAGTATCTCTTCCATCAACTTGTTGTCCATTAGAAGCACTTGATTCCTCACGAAACAAACACCACTTTGCATGAATCTTCAAGAGTTCACGGCCGTGAACCCTTCATTGGGCCGTGAACCCTTCTTAGATGCAAGTTTGGCCGTGAAACCTCCTTCCATGTCCGTGAACACTTCATAGGATCAAGGTTGGGCCGTGAACACATCATTTGTTCTATGGCCGTGAACCCTTTTAAGGCCATGAACATCCCTTTGTTTGGCCGTGAACACCCTTCTTTCAATCATATGTGATTCTAACACTCCATTGAGGGTGTTTCCTAGTTCCTAAGGTTGTTTCCCTTACATGATTAGTTGTTATATACACTAATTGTATACATATATGTGTCATTATATGCTTAATAGGATCCGTTTGTGCTCGAGACTTCACTTGGCATACTTAGCATCCTATATCGATCTTTCATTCGAATCACTCACTACAGGTGAGTTCATACCCCTACAAATACAATTTTAAATGCTTTTTAAATGCTTTTAGGGGGGAATAAAAGTAGAACACAATGAAATTTTTTTAACCATTTACATGTGAAAACAACATCCCAAAAGGATTTCTTATACTCAACACTTGTTGAAAACTCTTTTAAAGCTTTTATAAACTTCTTTTATATCAAATCATATTCGTCTATATATTTACGTATAAGTATGCTTTAACAGACTTAGGACTATTGCTAGATACCTTGACTCCTGTTCCTTGTTTGGTTGTGGGCTTGGGGTAGGATCACTAGTCCGAATTTCGGTTAAATCATAGTTATACTTATTAAATACATATATGAATATTAAACCCATTTTTAAGGATTATACTTAACTTAGTTGCTCGGTGAGTAATTGAGCCTTTTCTATACATCATTAACAGTCAAACAATCATACTAGTAAACTATAATAGGTATAGTTTAGAGGATTACTACTTACTATTTCTAGAACAATGAAACTTACATGAATCAGTACTTACATGAGTTAGTTCTTACATGAGTCAGTTCATACATGAGTCATTTCATACATGCTATAACTAGAACAGGAAGGAACATACTATAACAAGAACAGAAAGGAACATACTATAACAAGAACAGAAAGGAACATACATACTATAACAAGAACAAGATAACAATAATGTGAAACTACTACTTCACGGCATAGCAATATACTTGTTATGTCGTGTTTTGTAACCAGAGTCTCTTGGAGGGAGAGCGGGCATTGTGTGCATAGATCTATACGGGACTGAAAATCCCACATCACAACTGTTAGCTACAGTCCGGCAGACAAGCCAAGGGGTGACAAATGTCACTTTAGTTTCGACGCCAACAGTTCGTCGTGTTAAATACTAGTCAATCAGCATGGTTATAACCACATCACATTTTTACCTTAATTTAACTTACTGGTTTTAAGGTAGTTAGTACATTTGTAGTTACTTTATACAATACTAATGTACACTTTCATTTTCCCATTACATTCATATAGTGATTCTCACGTAAAAGGTAATGCAAACTATTTTCTAGTAAAGATAGTCATAAACTTGGGAAAACATACATTTTTACGAGAAAACAAACTTACAAAACAGTCGAGTCTTGGTAGAAGACTACATCCCATTTTAGTAGAAAATATAAGATTTTCTAGGAAGTATACAAACTTTTACATCAAAACACTTACAAACATTTTCATAAAACATATGCAAACTTTTGACACTAAAATACTTATGAACTCACCAGCTTAAATGTTGATCTACTCTTTCAAAATAACTTGTATTCTCAGGTCACCAGTAGACATGTACACTGGACCAGGTTTTGAGAAGACGGAGCATGTTCAAGACTCGTCTTTTATTTTGATTACATATTTTGGTGTCTTACAAATACATTTAGAACACACTTGTATTAAATTATATTATTAATGCAATGGATGATGTTGTTGCTTGTTTTACTATTGTGCATTGTTATGATACTGAACATGACGTCCTCCGCCCCCGAACGTTTTCGTCGTTCTGGTTTGGGGGTGTGACACTAAAATTCAGCACGATAGAACCAAACACGTAGAAACTGATCGACATTTCATTAAGGATCATCTCAAGAAGAAAACTGTTGAACTTCCATATGTAGAGTCAAAAGATCAGCTTTCGGATATGTTAACGAAGACAGTTTGTGGGAGAGTATTTCAGTGCTCTCTTAACAAGCTTTGAATGTTAGATATAAATTCTCCACCTTGAGGGTAGTGTTAGCGAGAGCCAAACATGGAAACTTAGATGTGTGTAGCTGTACATTGTTGTGTATATCCTTTCTTGATCCTTGATTTAAGGTTGTACCATAGGTTGTTAGTTGATCCTTTGTATAAATATTTGTACTCTTCTTTGGTAAAATATATACAAAAAATAATAAAGAAGATTTCTTCTACCAAAACTCTCGAAATTACAATAAACCAATTCAGTAGTTCTCACCAGAAAAAAATGAAAACAATCTATATTATATATCTCAATGAGTGAATTGAACACTACATGAACCACAACATATATAGTCTACATAAGTGACTATCTTTTACATGGAAATATACATGAGGTTGTGATTCAACTAAAACTAACTACCAACACAATGCTAATTTGACTATTATGCTCTAGCAATCCTTCTTCTACCTACACAGTTGTCTGGCAGTATTTTAAATAATTACAATGATTTATATCAAAATAGGTGGCCATTAAGAAGGTGTGTTTTTAATGTATGTTTTGGTCATTATTTATTTAAAATAATTAAAACTTAATATCAACTTAATATAAATGTTATCACTTCATAATTAGATAACAAATTTATTTTTATAATATATATTTACTAATATTTTCAATATCTAATTGTATTTTGGGTCATAGGGCAACATAACCTGTTAAAACATGGTATATTTAGTGCAATTTTAATAGGGAGGGGAATAAAGAAGGAGTGGATGTACGTTTAGGGGAGGTAGTTATTTCCATAAAGGAGGGGATGTAGAGGCAGACGTCACACATCACATAAAGGCGGGTTGGTTTGAAGTGGATGGTCGCCTACAGAGTCTTATGTAACAGGAAGGTCCCCTTGGAACTAAAGGGGAATTTTTACAATGTAGCTATTAGGCATGCCATAATGTATGGATCCAAATGTTGATCATCCAAGAAGGACCACGAGAGGAAGGTAGAGGTAGCAGAAATGGGGATGTTATGGTGGAATTTTGGTAAAAGGATATTCAGATAGGATCTTGAATGCAATTATAAGAAACTCCCTAGGAGGGTGGGAGGGGAACAGATCATCAAAAAACTGAGGAGAGGTACATTTGAGTTAGTATGAACACGTTATGAGGAAACTACCATCAGCGACAGTTGGAGGGTTGATTCGATTGTAATTAATGGTAATTGATGGTAAGAGGAAGAGAATACGTCTTAGAAGGAAGATGAGGATAATGTCAGGCATGGTATAGAAGAGTTGGCGCTTTCCAAGGACATGGTCTCATATAGGGGGTGGGGAGGCAAAAAAATCAAAGTTGACCTATAACATCACTCCAATCATTGCTCTTTGCGGTTGATACTTGATTCTTGTTCATATACTTATACTTTTTTTTAATTATTCATGTATTGTTGTACTCTTATAATTAACTTAAACCCTTGTTTCTCCTTATTGCAGGTTATCAAGTTCATATGCTTCTTTATGATGTATTTTTCTTTCCATTTAAACTAACTTACTTTTCCCATTTGTGCTCATTCATAGATTATAGTTTTGTTAATGTCATAGGTCATATTTGTTATGCAGTCACTCTTACCCACATACAGATAAGATTGTCGACATCTACCACCCCTATTTTATTCTGATGGGATTCTTGGGGTTGGTTGTTGTTGTATAACAATGATGTGGACAACCTCCATCTTAAGCAATAATAAATGCCGAAAACAAGATGTTCTTTAAAAAAATTATTTACTAATTACTATCATCAGATAATGTTCAACCAACAAACCATTAAAAAATTAAAAAAAAAATCGATCACGACTGTAATAAATTAGTTAGCTACATTCAATGTCATAGCTACCTTGATATGATACTGTCGTCCATGTTGTAAATTTATAAACTATTGTTTAATAACAACTTATAAGCTTTTAAATAGTTAAATACATTTCCTTTTTTAGCTAAGTTTATAAAACATACTAATAGTTATTTATTTTTTATTTTTCAAAATTAAGATGTTACTAAACAGGAGTTTAAAAGGAATCACGAAACTTGGGGGTGGTGGCTTTTCGTTGTAAATATGTGACATGATGCTAAAATGTGAAGTTGAGTTTCCCGAAAAAAACAGAATTTATCTGAGCTATTTTTCTTGTGATGCAGATACTTTAGGTCTACAATGGAATGGGCTTCCGAAGATCTAGAATTAATTCTCACCGGTTTGATGTCCATTTGACAGAGAATTTAATGCCGGTCGTATCTGTAACTCCCTACCCACTCATTTCTTTCGGTTCACATTCGATGAAACAAATCTATAAAATGGTATGTCTTTCTTTCGATTTTGTATCGTATCTCATTTAAGCCTTTCACACTTCATCTGTCTTCATTGATCATATCATATGTTCTTACATCTAAGTATCTTGAAAAAAGTTCTTGTTTTTATCTTGCATTTCAAGTTTTCAACCCCTTCCCCTTACGCAGACCAAGAGTTTGATAAATACTCGAAGTGAATCCCATCTCGTTTGTCGACTTGGGATTCTTTTGGGATTCAGCCTATGTCAATCATCAAAATCTACCATTCTTTAATAAATATGCTCCCATATGAAAATGATAAGATTGTTTTTAGAGCTTTAACAATCTTGCTCTGGTTAGGGACTTGCATGGCAAAAACATTATCTGCTAACTTTGCTTTTGGCGATTCTTTGGTGGAAGTAGGCAACAATAACTACATTGTATCACTTTCGAAGGCAAATTACATACCAAATGGGATCGATTTTGGGATGCCCACAGGAAGATATACAAATGGAAGAACAATAGTAGACATTCTAGGCAAGTCATTTCTCATAATCATTCCTTCCTCATACACTTTTTAACACTTTTTCCCCTAAAACTGAAATTACCTGTTTACCCTTTAGTTATTGATAGTACTTGTTCACAAATGTTGCAATTTCAGGAGAGGAATTGGGTTTGAAGGATTATACTCCGCCATATTTGGCTCCAAGGACATCTGGCCCACTACTTTTGAGTGGTGTGAATTATGCATCTGGTGGTGGTGGAATTCTGAATGAAACCGGAAAGATTTTTGTAAGTGAACTTTTTTAATATTCTGTTTAAAGTTTTTTATCTATCAAAATCGTTTTATTACAAGCTCATTTATTGTAGTAATGTAGTCACACTCCATTTTTAGAAAGAAATGATGTTATTCCAACTTCCTTGCATAATCCCATGAACATTGCTAAAAATATGAGGAATCTTGTTAACCGAAAGTACGTGGCATTATAATTTGTAACAAATATGTCATTTTAGATTGAATTTTCCAAAAATAAATAAATTAATTAAATTAAATCTTGCAATGTTTCATGTGGGGTAGGGTGGGCCGTGGGTAAGTACTTATATTTCTGGATTAACATAAACATGGATTATGCTACAAATATTAAGCCATGTGCTATTTAAAGAGTTTGGACTGAATTACAAATTTAGTCCCTGTGTTTTGCCAAAATTTATTGCTACAGTCCCATAGTTTGCCTTCTTTTCTTTTTACGTCCCCAAAAATTAGTTTGCTCACTTTTTCATTCTCTGGGCCATCTAACTTAATGTCCAAGCCGTTAAATCCATGAAAATGACCATTTTATCCTTGCCTTCTTCATTTTCTTCGTCTTCCTCTTCAATAAACTACCAAGAAAAAAAACATGGGATTATCCTACAACTACAAAACTAATCTTATTTATCTCTTTATTACAGTAACTGCATATCTTGAAAGAATATAATGTTTTCTAGAATGAAAAGGTGAAATTGATAATTTGTTAGATTTTTTTTTTTTGCCACATTAGATTTCTACTAATTTCATTATATGAAAAATATATATACCTCCAATTCATTTCCGAAACACAAGCTTTTCAAAAAAGAATTTAACAATTAAAAATTTATCCCCATCTATTTGAAATATTTTCTAACAGCCCCCTCATCTAAGTTGTTTTTAAACGCATATCTGATATTGATCAAGTATGTAGTTTTAAGAAATAGAAGACAAAAAAAAATGCTCATTTTTATTTTGCATATTTGACAAAAAAGATTAATTAGTCAAAAATATGGGAAAGTTTTAAATTTACAAATATATAATGGTATTATTATTTTGATAGGGTGGAAGGATCAATATGGATGCACAACTAGACAACTTTGCAAATACGAAGCAGGATATAATATCCAGAATTGGTGCTACTGCAACTCAAGAGTTGTTGAGTGGAGCTCTTTTTTCAGTAACAATTGGTTCAAATGATTTTATAAATAATTATCTCACACCCGTTGTTTCAACAATTGAGCGAAAACTGGTATCTCCAGAAGCATTTGTGGGAACCTTAATTTCAAGATTCAGATTACAACTTATGGTAACCTCATATAAATTTATTTTTATTTGCATTTATTTATTCATCTTCAAGATCTTCATTTCGATTTTGGGATTTCTTTATTGATTTAAATCCACACTCTAAAGCTCACTTTTGATTTCTTAATTTATTTATAGAGGTTATAACAAATCGGTCTTACCTAGAAAACGTATAAACTAATATTTTTAAATATGCACGAAAATACAAATGGAAATATAATGTTGACATGTCAACATAACCCAACAAGCTCACTTTGCCACCTATTAATCTCAATATTTTTTGAATCTTGATTGATTTATGTCACGTTCCTTGAAACTTGCACTTTGTAATTACGAATTCATATTTTTCTTTGACATTGCTATTTCTTGCATACAGAGATTATATGATTTAGGTGCTAGAAAGATTGTGATCCCTAATGTGGGCCCCATCGGATGCATTCCATATCAACGGGACATAAATCTGTCCGAAGGAAATGACTGTGTGGCTTTGGCAAATCATTTAGCTCAACTTTATAATCGGCAATTGAAAAGCTTACTTCAAGAACTTAATATTAAACTCAAAGGTTCAACATTCCTATTTGCAGATGTGTATAATATTGTTGCAGATATCATTCAGAATTTCGAATCATATGGTGAGTAAACTTTTAAAAGATTTATGTTTTTTATTTTTTAACTTGATTTTATTCCTTTTGATACTTTTATGCTTTGTTTCTTTAAATTTTCTCATTAAGTCTTTGTCTGAATAAATAAATGGTGTTTAAAAAATATTTGAGAAGATGACGGTACATTTTAGTAATGAAAGAAAAAATAAATGAAAGAAAATTTGTAATAAAAATGTCTATCTCTTTACCAATTAAGTCCTAACTTTTACGAATTTGCCTTCATTTTTTTTTTGTTCTTTTATTTTTTTCAAAAATGTCTTCAGTGTTCTCAAAAACATTCAAACGTCATTTATCCGGACAGCATTTTCTGAAATCAACTTATCTCGATTGCAAAGTCAATTTGGCACTTAAATATTTGGTTCCAAACAGGTTTTGAGAATTCAGATTATGCGTGTTGTCATGTGACCGGTCAACACGGTGGTCTAATCCCATGTGGGCCCACATCTAAAGTTTGTACCGATAGATCAAAGTATGCTTTTTGGGACCCATATCATCCTTCGGATGCTGCCAATGTTATCATTGCCAAACGTTTAATGGATGGAGGCCTTGAAGATATATCCCCTTTTAACATTAGAGCTCTTTTTGGATCTTGAAGAAGAAAATGAATTTGGGAATTTTATGTTATTATGTATCCATGTTTGGATGAATACGTGTATGAGTTAAAAGATATAGGTTTAAGTTTTGACATATCATTTTTTTCAAAATTTTAATCCGTTTGGGAGACATTACCAATCAACATTGCAAATTGAGAGTCATATTAGCTCTAACATACGTATTTTTCGTCTCATTTTAAATTATGTGAATGGGTATTATGAATTTTTGAATTCACTAAACCTAACATAATGTGTATGAAATTAATGGAGAAATACAAAACAATGACGAGTTCGTCAAAGGTCAACCCTTACATCCTCTTCACTATTTTTTTTTCTTTACATTAAATTAATAAAAAATTTCTAATATACCATGTACAAAACTCTTTTTCACCATGGAGAAAAGAGAAAAAGGGAAATGGTGGCAGAAGAGGAGATAGAGTGTGAGGATCATCCACGGTCGGGATGAAAAGCATGGGTCCCTCCCCAGCCGACGCAATGTTCCCTCCAGTATCTAGCGTCCACGCATTATGCATGTACCTCTTAAGGGGAAGTATAACACATAACAGGGACATACTCCTAAAAGAGACAGCATGGGCACCTACCCCTAAAATTTTAATACCAAGTGCTTCTTATAATTTTGCTGGTAGATCTAGCTTTCTGGTGGTTGAGTTTAGGAGGATCTAGTTTCTTGTAGTGGTTCCTGATTTTGAAATCGATATGCTTCAGTTCATGAAATCGATGTGTTTTTGTTTGATTTTCTCAAATCGATCTGCTTTTTTCCTGAAAATGATTAGGTGGTGACAGAATTAGGAGTCATAGGAGATGAGAATCATCGGATAAGGAAGGCATACAAGGGTTTGAAAAGACGTAGATGGTTGTTGGTATGTGAGAGATACAAGGAAATGGAAAAATCTATTAGTGGGTGGCCATATTTTTTCTTAATATTAACGAATATTAAATATTAAAGGAAATTTAAAAATAAATTCATAAGGGCAATATAGTCATTTTATGTCTCGATGAGGCATGAAAATTTAAATTAATGAGGGATGAAACGTACAGGACTAAAACAAATGAATGACGGTCTGAGTTCATTTTTGAAAATAAAAGCTAAACATGTTGTTTATTTTTTTTTATGACACTTGAACGAGAGACGATTTGTATAAATTACTTTATTGATATTTAAAATGAAAAATCTAATATAACTTTTCTAACCAAAAAAACAGTTGCCACAAACTTAATCATATATTCAAAATAAAGCATATTTTTTCCATGTAATACACTTAAATCTCCAAGCAAAAACGTTAAGTATCACCAATTGTTTAAAATTTAGTTTATGTATTTCTTCTAAATTGTTTAAATTTACCGGTCACAAAGCAAAAGAAAATAGAAACTTTGAAAACATGAAAAATAGTTTGGTTGGAGCTTATATTGTCATAATACTTAAGATGCATATTATCTCAACATGAACAACGATGCTCTTAGATGTAAATTTATCACCCTTAAATATGATATCGATCTGATATATAAAAGACAACATATTGTCTCTTGTTCTGGTTCTCGTGCCCTCATAGCCTTTTTTAATTTTTTTTAATTTTTTTGTGATAATGTTCGTAAGAAAGAACCATATATGTGATTTGCACTTTGTCGGGAACATGTTGTTTTTTGTCTTGTTAGGGTGGAAGGTACCCACCGTTCTCATCTCTCTCAACTCACTTGTCACATCCATATCATCTCTCTCTCTCTCTCTCTCTCTCTCTCTCTCTCTCTCTCTCTCTCTCTCTCTCTCTCTCTCTCTCTCCTCTCTCTCTCTCTCTCTCTCTCTCTCTCTCTCTCTCTCTCTCTCTCTCTCTCTCTCTCTCTCTCTCTCAACATATGGAAACTAATCTTTCCAAACCCTCACAACTACTCAATTTTCATATTTTTTTATTTAATAAATTATACTTTTACTTATTTAAAACTAAACAATAAAAGTGGCATTTAATTAATAAAGGATACTACAAGAAAACAACAATTAAGATGATAAAATGACGATTAAAAAACTAAACAACAATTAAAATAAACTAGTTATACAATGATGGAATGTAATCATGTTCATTGTAATCATAAAGATCGGAACGAAGCTTGTAACATCCTTATTTCCAATACGTAATTTAATGTGGTTTTAATTTGAATATTTCGCTGAAATCTGAAATCTGGAATTAATCGCAAGGAAGCGCAGCATGCTTCTTTTGGGCGCGGCGCTGAGATCCATGGGCTGAATGACTTTTTAGGGTTTTGGGACTATTTAAACACACTTATGTCTGTAGAGTTAGATCATTTACAGCCTTCCTCACCCCTAGAGAGTGTTTCTAGAAACCCTAGCCCCTTCCCTCCCATTTTGAGCTTGATTCCACCTTGAGAGCTTATCTTTCTTTGATTTGTTCATAAAGCTTGAAGATCACAATTTCCTTTAGATCTTTGAAGTGAAGAGAAACTGTAGATCCATAAATTTTGCACCTTTCTTGGACTTTGTGAGTATAAAGATTCAAGCTTTCCTTCTTATTGCTAGATCTTGATTATTTTCCCTTTTATACACTTTTGGTCCTAATTTGTTGGTGAGCTTGGAGTTGAAATGACTCTACCTCCTTTTAAACACTCAGGGTTGTTATATGGACAATTTAGACTTGGAAAGTGGGTATCTTGAGCATGTTCTCTAAGCCCATGCAAGTTGTGTGGATATTTTAGGTATTTATGATGTTTTAAAGTCTATATCTTGGTTGTTGTGGTATGTCTTAATTAATGGATAAAGTTGGAAACTTTATTTATTTATACCTTCTTAGAGTTCAGATATGGAAGATAGGGTTATGAACTAATGGATTAAGTCAACAACCCATACGAAGAAGGCCTAAACGTATCACACTTTTAGGGTTTTCAAGAACGCGTTTATTTTAGCTCAAAAACACGACTGTTTTGTCATTTCATAGGCGCGAGGAGCCCAAAAGAAAGTGTGACACACTTTTGACCAGAATGTTGACTTGTTGACTTTTTGACTAAGTTTGGCCTTGGATCAAACTTTAGGGTTTTAGGTCATAGCTGAGGTTGACCTTTGATTTAATGTCTAGGTGATGTGTGAGACTGGTCTATTAGTATTTGCGTGCAGTGGTGGTTTTTCAGTTTATTTATGAGGTGAGTTTTTATTGGAAAAAATGTCCAAGGTCATTAACTATTGGTAATAATTCTAATAATAACAGGGTCTTTTTGAGTTGCCCTCAATACCCAAATTGAGTAGAATAAATAAAGGATATTATAGTTTAATAATTAATTAGAAACTAATTGAAAATATTTTGGGAATTAATTAAGAGTTTAATTAATTAAATGGTTGAATATTCAATAATCAATAGTTAATTAGTTATGAATGTTCCATAACCCTTTAGAGGATTAGGGTTGGATGAAGCCTCTCTTGGATAAGAGAGAATTTCGTTTTTGAATCCCTTGTCCCACATGGGATGGAGTACAAAACCTGGGAAGGGATCCAAGGCTTTAAATAGGACCTTAGAGATCTCATACTTCCTTGCACCTTAACTTGAAGTTTCGCCAACCTTTCTTCATCTCCCCCCAAGGGACGATTTCTAACTCTCTTAGGGTTTGTGAAATTTACCCCCTTCTGGTTATTTTTATTCCACTCTTTGGTGTCATTGAGTGTAATACCATTAGAGGGATTATGATTTGGGTCCTCTCATCCAAGCAACCTTGTGGAGGCTGTGATCTCAAGCATAAAAGTCAAGGGCTACATATGAGGTATGTTATTATTTCTTGTGTATTTATGTTTTACTAGGCTAGTTGTAATTAGTATGAAGCGATAGATCCTTAGGTTGCATGTACACTTAGGTATATCATAGATTGATTTCTCCGCTACCTGCTTTAAGTGTATTTGATGCATAGGAAACCCAACAGTGGTATCAGAGCCATTGGGTCATAGTTACTAGCACCCTTAATCAATATTTATTGTAAATGCTTGTTTGAAATTGGAAAAAAGTAAGAAAAAATGAAACTGAAAGAAACATGTAATCGCAGGCGCGGTGCGCCCTACCGGATTAGGGTTTCCTTATTTTTTGTAAATTTCAAATTTGAAGATTTCTAATATGGATAATTATCAAAAGTAAATTGTTTTAAATCTAGAAAACTATAAATATTATTTAAATATGATTATTTGAATTTGAATATTTATTATTTAAATAGTGATTTAAATATTTAATATTCGTTATAATATAGATTTATAAATTTGAATATTAATCCCTCATGAGTTCTTAGTTATTACATTGTGTCCTCGCAATTAATTAGAATTAATAACAGACAACTAAATTTAAAGAGTTTTGAATTTACCCCTTATATATATATAATATATATATATATATATATATATATATATATATATATATATATATATATATATATTAGAATTGTATCTACTATGTGTATAAGAAAGTTACAAAATGCATCCTCGTGTGTTTAAATTTTAACATTGTCGGTCTTACCATGACTAGGCTCACCCACTCTAATGTAGGGGTTTAAGGAGGTCTCTATGATTCCTAATGGGGTTGGTTGTTAATCTGCTTCGTGCTTACCACCCTCAGCACCCTATTGCATTTTGAGAGTAGAGTTACCGAAATGGTTTAATAGTGATAATGGTCAAGTTAAAAGTATTAACATTAAAAGTGTAACACAAAATCCCATTTATTTATAGAATGTGAATTTTATGTTATTCATAAAAATTGAACATTCTCTTTATATTCTGTTGATGGAGCTCGTGTGGCTAACCGACACATCAATCTAGAGTATAGTAGCAAATCCTGAGCGTAACTTGAGTCGGGTACCATGTGATTTTGCATGGTTAGTTCACAATTTGTTTAACTAAAAGTGAATCTTATGTTATCAATAAAAGTTGCACATTCTCTTTATAACTTGTATGAATGATTCACCATCTGTTCAATGATCTGCGGCGACCCCATCATTAAATTTGA